TGGGAAAGCCCAGGGGTGATGGGCACAAGTTACTGCTGGGGGATTCCCACGGGACACAAGAGGAAAATGCTTCCCAATGAGAACACTTGGCCATTGGAAAAATGTCCCCAGGGAAGTGGTGACTCCACAGCTTCGGGCACTGTTGAGATTGGGCTTTCAAAACCTTCAGGAAGGTTTCAATGCTGATGTTCAAGGCTTTTAATCTCCCATAACTCAAAGTTATAGGACCTGAAAACGATGTAAGGATGCCTGAAGAAAATACATTTGAATGAATCAAGGCAATAAGCTGATTTTTCGGTGCCTCAGGTTAACTGGAGGAGCTCCTTTCGACTGAAGTATAGCAGTATGTATGTGGAGCTGGGCAGAAATCAGGTTTCTAATTCAAGCTAAGGAATATTAGAACTAAAGTTTCTTAATTGCTCCTATTAATCAAGTTGTTCAGTGCTTTATTAGACCCTAGAGTGGTTCAATTGAATAGATAAGAATTCAGTTTAATAAGAGATATTTAAAGGAGATAGAGTCCTAAGGAAGAGATGGATGAAAAAATGATGGCAAATCTGAGCGAAAAGCAGCTTTGTTCTGAGGACTTCTTCACAAGCATTCGTGGCTGTGTATGGCCAAATAATTCAAGTTTTAAGAAATGACCCACTTCTGTCATGTTTCACTCTTCCCCATGGGCATTTATGCAGAGACTTTGGACAAGGGCTCGTGTATGATGAGCTTTAAGGTCCCTTCCAACCCAAACCAGTCTAGGATTGTAGGATTTTCAGTTTAACAACAGTTATAGAATCATAGAATAGTTTGGGTTGGAAAGGGCCTTAAGCTCATCCAGCTCCAACCTCCTGCCGTGGGCAGGGACACCTCACACTAAACCATGGCACCCAAGCCCTGTCCAACCTGGCCTTGAACACTGCCAGGGATGGAGCATTCACAACCTCCCTGGGCAACCCATTCCAGTGCCTCAGCACCCTCACAGTAAAGAACTTCTTCCTTAGATCCAATCTAAGCTTCCCCTGTTTGAACCCATCACCCCTTGTCCTATCACTACAGTCCCTAATGCCCCCCCAGCATCCCTATAGCCCCCCTTGAGATACTGGAAGGCTGCTATAAGGTCTAGTGTGATTTTCATTTGCTTCATCAAATAAATCTGTTGACCGAACCCTTTCCTGCTCCAACACAGGCTGTTGTTCCCAGTTGCTCTTTGGATTTATCACTTCCATATGGTTTTCTTTTTCTTGACGTGGGTTTAAAGTTACCTTTCACTTCCAGCAACCTGTTCAGTGGCCAGGCTGTTCAAAGATGCTCACAGCACAGTTTTAGTGATGGCAATTCTAAAGACTTCAGTAAGCTCAATCTATAGCTGAGCACTGCCCAGGGAGGTTGTGAATGCTCCATCCCTGGCAGTGTTCAAGGCCAGGTTGGACAGAGCCTTGGGTGCCATGGTTTAGTGTGAGGTGTCCGTGCCCATGGCAGGGGGGTTGGAACTGGATGGTCTTAAAGTCCTTTCCAGCCCTATTCTATGATTCTATGGAAAGGCCAGAGCATGTTCCATAGAGTGAACCCTCCAATCCTAACAAGGCACTTTACTAAAGGATTACTAAGACTCTTTGCCAGTCATCCTCATATGTAATGCCCAAAACAAGTGAAACTATTTTCGGGCATTGTTGTCATCCACACCAATGAGCCCCATGTCCTGAAAAGGCGAATGGCTGCGAGTCACAGCGCTGTGATTATTGTCATCATTATAGAATCACACAACAATGAGAGAAAGCCTCTGGAACAATGAAGGGAAAAACATCACAGGACTGTGCCAAAGGTAGAGCAGCTGCATTGCAGCACTGAAGATTAATCCGTGCTTCCCAAATACCACTCGGGAATTCCACGTGCCAACTGTGCTTTATGACTTTAGTCGTCTGTTCTTATTGGTTCCCAGAGGAATCGTGCTGATGGTTTATGGATGCAGTCCTATTAGCACCAATGGGGGAGGAGAAGGATGGGTTTTAGTCTGAATTCTGTAATTAAAAATACTCTGGAAGGTTTGTTCCTTTTAAACAGATTCCCCCCACCCTTGGCACAAAGCTTGGCACCAAACCCCCCACATTCCAAGCAGTATTCCTGAACGAGCATCAGTGGGTTTATGGATTGTATCGTTCTCACCAGAAGCTGGCAGCAGTTAAGAAGCTCCTACTATTGATACATGACAGTGATGAGTAAAAAGAATCAACAGAAAAGTGAACACAATGGACTCTGGTGATGTTAAACTGGCTTTTAATTAAATCACTTCTTGAGCTTGGCCTCATTACTTTCCCCTCCTCTCCCCCCATTATATCATGATTAAACAGGGGAAGTTCAGCTTGGATACAAGGCAGAAGCTGTTCCCTGTGAGGGTGCTGAGGCGCTGGCACAGGGTGCCCAGAGAAGCTGTGGCTGCCCCATCCCTGGCAGTGCTCAAGGCCAGGTTGGACACAGGGGCTTGGAGCACCCTGCTCTAGTGGAAGGGGTCACTGTCCATGGCAGGGGTTGGGACTGGAGCGGCTTTAAGGTCCCTTCCAACACAGCTCTATTACTCTATGATTCTGTTAATATTGTCATTAATTGTACTAATCCTGTTTTTAAAGGGACTTTGGATTGGGAGAGGGTGATGGCCATCTCCTGGTGGCCATTCTGTAGTCTTCTGTGTTCAGAGTAGGCTTCAGTTCACCAGCAACAAAGGTTTTGTCATTAAAAACAATGACCCTGCCCTAATGGAAAGGAACAAAATGATGTGCAGAACAATCACCAAGGGACTAATGAGACCAAACAAAGGACTTGCAAACAAGCCCAAAACCATTGCCACTAGAAAATACAAAGCTCTGGGGTAGGGTAAAGTGCAGAGTGTGTTTATGAGCCCCAAATGGCAATGTGAGCAAACAGAAGGCAGGGCCCTTGCTGCCTTCTAGTGTTTATTGTTCCCATGTTTGCTGTGATGAAAGCTCCTTCCCCAGGTTTGGGGAGGAGGAAACTTGCAGAGTTTATTCAAGCATTGTGCTTTCAAATGGACACTTTGCACATCTTGAAGCCTCTTTCCTTGTGTTACAAGGGCTTTGGACAACGGACTGTAAGGACAGGCCAAGGGGAATGGCTTGAACCTGCCCGAGGGGAGACTGAGCTGAGCTCTTAGGCAGAAGCTCTTCCCTGTGAGGGTGCTGAGGCGCTGGCACAGGGTGCCCAGAGAAGCTGTGGCTGCCCCATCCCTGGCAGTGCTCAAGGCCAGGTTGGACACAGGGGCTTGGAGCAAGCTGCTCCAGTGGAAGGGGTCCCTGCCCGTGGCAGGGGTTGGGACTGGAGGAGTTTTAAGCTCCCTTCAACCCAAACCAATCTGGGATTCCTTAACTTCCTACTTCAGTGTTGTCATCTCTGCAGGCACTACAGAGTTGTTCCTACAGAGCTACAGTGACTGAGAAATGCAGAAGCTTGCACTAGGTTCCTGTCAGCAGAGAGGTGCTTGCTGCAGGGCTGATGTTTGGGGATGCTTCTGGTGCTTTGATCTCGGGTTTGGTGGTGATTTATATATAGTAGTCGCATTTTGTTGACAAAATCAGACCTGATTCATGTTACGATGTTCTAATGGAGAAAGCAAGGTTGTTCAGCAGCGACAAGAGCTGCAGTGATGGGAGGATTTAAACAGAAAAAGACTTAAAGGCAGCAAGCTCTTCCTCTCGATTCAGACATACTGATACCTAGGATGAATTACTACCAGGAGTCAGCATTTTGAAGGGAAAATGACTACGGCACGTAACTGTTAACTGGAAAGGATGGGTTTTCCTGACCTTCCTTCCTTTCTTTCCCGATGTCCTTGGGAAATGCAGTTCTGTATCACTGATCTGAATACTGCTGAGTTTGGCAAAGCCAGCTGACTGGAGCTGTTGACTTTATTACTTCTGGGGTTTAGATGAGTTTTTAGAGTGCTCCATCCTTCATTGTCAAATAACATGAGATGATTCTTGCTCTCTGCTCACTCTTTTGAGACCCCCCCTGCAGCCCTGATCCAGCTCTGGGGCAGCAGCACAAGAGGGACCTGGAGCTGTTGGAGCGAGGCCAGAGGAGGCCATGGAGCTGCTGCGAGGGCTGGAGCAGCTCTGCTCTGGAGCCAGGCTGAGAGAGCTGGGCTGGGGCAGCCTGGAGAAGAGAAGGCTCCTGAAGGGGAGACCTTAGAGCAGCTCCAGTGCCTAAAGGGGCTGCAGGAAAGCTGGAGAGGGGCTTGGGACAAGGGCCTGTAGGGCCAGGCCAAGGGGAATGGCTTGAACCTGCCCGAGGGGAGACTGAGCTGAGCTCTTAGGCAGAAGCTCTTCCCTGTGAGGGTGCTGAGGCGCTGGCACAGGGTGCCCAGAGAAGCTGTGGCTGCCCCATCCCTGGCAGTGCTCAAGGCCAGGTTGGACACAGGGGCTTGGAGCAAGCTGCTCCAGTGGAAGGGGTCCCTGCCCGTGGCAGGGGTTGGAGCTGGAGGAGCTTTAAGGTCCCTTCCAACCCAAACCATTCCATGACTCTATGATCTGTTGCTATGCTTGGGATAAAATGCATGTAAACTTATATTCTTCGCCTCTCCTACATCCAGAAGGATGTCTTAAGAGTAAGAATTCCTATTAAAAATATACCTGTTACTCTTTGTACCCCAACCTTTCCTTTTTCATTCCTTTTCATATGCTGAAGCTTTTGCATATAAAAATTCAAACATTTGGAGTCTCATTTCCCAAAATCATCCAACTGAATATTCGCAGACTGTCCCATCTGTGGGCTCATGTTGTTTAATTAATGGATTATAGGGGTAAGTTTTAAACACAACCACTCCAAAAGCTCCTCTCACCATGCTTCATATCTGCTTTCTGTTTAGAGTACTGTTAAAGAAATACAGGGTAGAATATTGAGTCCCTGTTGCAACTGGGTTACAGGTTGATTTCAAACCACCAGAGATCAGGGATAGATAAACCAGGGTTTCTGGTGCAAATGAGAACAGGGTGGTATAAGAATGTAATATTCATTTTTAATAAGATGAAATAGAAGGTAACATCTGTGACAGGGATCTCCCTTCTCATATAGGGATTTGCTTTGATTGAAGAGGGAAATAAGTCCCATTACCCTCATGCAGTGCCATTGACTGCACAGCACTGTTATCACTCCCCAGACACAATGATTTTTGTTCACTTCAGTTAAAACCTCTCCTTATCTTCCCCGTTTCAGGCTCTGGACCGGGTAGGGTAAGGGCAGCTCTAATTTTGTTACGTGACCTCCACCCATGTAAGGAAATTCTTTGCCATCAACATCAGCTCTATTGTTTCCGGCAGAGCCGTGGCAGCTTAGGAAGCAGTTTCCAAGGTTCTTCATGCTCAGCACAGGCAACATCGGCTCAGGTGAACTGTTGAGTTGAAGCAGCCCATGCAAGGAAGGGTGTTTTCACATGGATGCTTGATTTCATCCATGCTGGTTGTCTCATGGAAGGTTCCACAGAGGGTTAGGGAGTTTAAAAACATACATGAACATAAATACCTGTGTTTGAATATATAAAATATATTGACTATAGAAATATATATATATTTCTAGATATCTATCTCTATATATATTTTATATATATATTTGTATTTTATATATATTTCTAGATCTATTCTATATATAATCATTATAATATATAATGTATAATGTAATATATAATACATAATCTATTGTAAATATATTTATTATATATAAGTATATATTTTATATATAAAGATCTATTTTATATCTAAAATATATAAATGTACATTAATATAAATATATATTTCTGCATATGTTTCTAGAAAAATATATTTTTTTCTAGGCAATATGTATTGCAAAATATATATATTGCAAAATATATATAGGCAGTAAATATATATATATATATTTCTAGGCAATCATAGCATCAGAGAATGGTTTGGGTTGAAGGGACCTTAATGCTCATCCAGTTCCAAGCCCTGTCCAACCTGGCCTTGAGCACTGCCAGGGATGGGGCAGCCACAGCTTCTCTGGGCACCCTGTGCCAGCACCTCAGCATCCTCCCAGGTCCAATTTGAGTTAATGTGTAGGGTTTCCTATAGAAATACACTTTAGTTTGCTTGTGTATCCACTGCTGTTAAGTATCACTTCTTCCCAATCCTGATTTCATCCATTACCTTGTAAAGCTTGCACTCAGGTGTGGGAAGGATTTTTGCACCTTTAACTCGACAGTTCCATTGTAAAGACATTATTTGCTATAAATCATTGACTTTTATCTACCCTTGGAAGTTGTAATTGTGTGGTGCTTTGTATTGTCTTAGTACTGATGTCAGAGCTGGCTTTTAATAAAGAAGAAAACCTTGATTTCCTTCTGAGGTTGAAAAATAGACAGGTTTTCAGTGTGATTGTAACCCAGTGAGTGATTTACTAATCTTTGGGGATTCAGAGAGAGAACAAAAGCCATTGTAGAGGAATAATATGGGCTGGGCTTCTTGAAACCCTTCTTTTTCCAGTTCCCCCTTCAAAGCTGTTTGATCAGAAAACCTGAAAAGGCTTTGTGTTTCCAACGTGAATGGTGATGTTGAGAGGTTTGGGTCAGGTGTTTGTAAGTGAATGAGATTCAGGCGATGAAATCCCAGAGGAAATGTCTTTATATCACGTAGTTCAGCGAGTCAGACCGTGTGTTTTAATATTAACATGTGCAGCTTCATACAATACTGGCCATTTATAGACGGAATAACCACATTATCACTGAAAGCAATGTGTAAGCAGGCAGCTCTGTGCCCTGTAACTGATGGCATGTCGCATTCGCTGTGCAATGAGTGTTTGTGTGTTGGAGCTGAAGGCTGTGTGGAGACCTCAGAGTAGCTTCCAGTATCTGAAGGGGGCCTATAGGGATGCTGGGGAGGGACTCTTCATTAGGAACTGTAGTGATAGGACAAGGGGTGATGGGTTAAAACTGAAACAGGGGAAGTTTAGATTGGATATAAGGAGGAAATTCTTTCCTGTGAGGGTGCTGAGACACTGGAATGGGTTGCCCAGGGAGGTTGTGAATGCTCCATCCCTGGCAGTGTTCAAGGCCAGGTTGGGCAGAACCTTGGATGCCATGGTTTAGTGTGAGGTGTCCCTGCCCATGGCAGGGGGTTGGAACTGGATGATCTTAAGGTCCTTTCCAACCCTAACTATTCTATGATTCTATGTAGCTCTGGCTTCTCCTGGCTCCCAACCACGCCTGTGTTGCATCGTGTTGCCTTTACTAACTTCAAATCTGTCAGCTCTTAACAGTAATTAAGAACTTCATCATACTGAAACCACTTTTAATTAATGAATGGAGAAAGGCTGTGACACACTTTCCACATGCTGACAGATTTGGGGGTTCCTGGTGGTTTGACATGCCTTTCTTTGGTGCTTTTTCTTATGTATCTAAAAGGGCTTCAGGAGACCTGGAGAGGGGCTTGGGACAAGGGCCTGTAGGGCCAGGCCAAGGGGAATGGCTTGAACCTGCCCGAGGGGAGACTGAGCTGAGCTCTTAGGCAGAAGCTCTTCTCTGTGAGGGTGCTGAGGCGCTGGCACAGGGTGCCCAGAGAAGCTGTGGCTGCCCCATCCCTGGCAGTGCTCAAGGCCAGGTTGGACACAGGGGCTTGGAGCAAGCTGCTCCAGTGGAAGGGGTCCCTGCCCATGGCAGGGGTTGGAACTGGAGGAGCTTTAAGATCCCTTCCAACCCAAACCAGGCTGGGATTGTGTGAATCACACCACACAAGTACCAACTTCTCTCCACTGACTCTATAAAGAACTGAGAGTGACAAACTCCAGTGTATGCATCCGGGCTGTCGAAGTCTGAAGTTAAATGATGTGAACCCTCCTGCTGGGTTGAACATAAAATGAACATATGGGCTTTACACAAAGGTGGGGGCGAGCTCTGAAATACGGGTTTGTAGCACACTGGAAGGGAAAAATCACAGCTGCTTTGCAAAACAGCATTTAGAATTGCTTTGCCAAGCTTCAGCTATTTATTTACATGTATTAGCACAACTCGAGCCTGGTGTTTGGGCTGAAAAGCTTCAGAAGCAGATACACTCTATCATAAAATCTCCAAATTGTGGTTTTGGGGAAAGCGCAACCAAGCTTGGCTTTTTTACCATAAAATCATAGAATCCCAGCCTGGTTTGGGTTGGAAGGGAGCTTAAAGCTCCTCCAGCTCCAACCCCTGCCATGGGCAGGGACCCCTTCCACTAGAGCAGCTTGCTCCAAGCCCCTGTGTATAAGACAGCCGAGCTGTTGGGACAGTGTGTGTTTGGTGTGAAATGAAGTGTTCTGGAGATGGGATGGTAACTTGAGCACGTGTATAGCCGTAATGCTGTGGGCTCATCCCTCCAGCTTTGTAAAATAGAATCATAGAACCATAGAATAGTTAGGGTTGGAAAGGACCTTAAGATCATCCAGTTCCACCCCCCTGCCATGGGCAGGGACACCTCACACTAAACCATGGCACCCAAGGCTCTGTCCAACCTGGCCTTGAACACTGCCAGGGATGGAGCATTCACAACCTCCCTGGGCAACCCATTCCAGGGCCTCAGCACCCTCACAGGAAAGAATTTCCTCCTTAGATCCAATCTAAACTTCCCCTGTTTAAGTTTTAACACATTATCCCTTGTCCTATCACTGCAGTCCCTAATGAAGAGTCCAAGCATTTTCATCCAAGCATCCTTTAGTGAGGATGTCTGTGTGTTAATTAATGTAATCAGGTTGTTGCTGTGGCTCTGTGCTGATGGGGGGAACTTCTGTCGCAGAAGGAGAACCATTAGTTCCTAATGATTAGTTAGTTCTGTTCAGGGCCTGTAGTTATAGGATGAGGGGTGATGGGTTCAAACTGAAACGGGATGTTTGGGTTGGATCTAAGGCAGAAGCTCTTCCCTGTGAGGGTGCTGAGGCGCTGGCACAGGGTGCCCAGAGAAGCTGTGGCTGCCCCATCCCTGGCAGTGCTCAAGGCCAGGTTGGACACAGGGGCTTGGATCAAGCTGCTCCAGTGGAAGGGGTCCCTGCCCGTGGCAGGGGTTGGAGCTGGAGGAGCTTTAAGGTCCCTTCAACCCAAACCAGTCTTGGATTCTGTGATTTGTGTCTCATTCACATATGTCTGTTAGCCTGGTCTTTAACACTGGGCTTGACTTTGCTGTAGGCTTCCACAGTTTCACCCTTTTTCTCTCCCTGAGTCTTCAAAATGATTTAAATAGGCAAATACAGTGTTCTATAGAAATGCATTCTTGACTCCATTGAAATCTGATACACACTGTTTCACTGAGTATACCACTCAAATGGATATCTGTGAAATCTGGTATCATTAAATACATAGAGACTATGTAGATAACTGTATCCAGAATTGAACATTTAAATGGAATTATCATTTCACCTCCAGTTTTGCAGGTTTAAGGCAGAACTTGCGTTAAACCAATGTGTAACCCAGGCCCTGCGATGTGATTTTCCAGTTCTGGGTTGAAACAGGGCTTTTGAGCTTGAACTTCACTATAACTGTTCAATTTATGATAACTTTTTGTGATGTATTTGGGATTTCCATGTACAGAAGGGTTCTGGTGTGCTGATGTGAAATGTTTTAACAGCAAATAACTGTATTTGAATGATAAAGATGTTGTGCATCTTGGAGATGTCATTTGGGGCAAGGAAGTGCTTTGAGGAGAAGCCCCATATATATCCTTGTAGTTACTAGGTGCCTTCCTTGACATAAATCACATCTCCTCTTCTCCAGACCTGACCTCACTCTTCTGCTATGGCTGTATTACACAACTGGATGGAAATCATTTAATAGGAGGTGATATTACAATGCTCTGTGGTGCCATCTAATGGGCCTGAAGCACTGTCATTCCTGCTTGTCAAAAAGGAATGCCATCCACCAGACACTATCCAAGACTAATAATTATAGGTGAATGTGTTAGAAATAATAGTATGAGCATCTTAAAACTCTAAATATGAATCCTCATAAGTCACATACAAAAGCACTCTTCTTAATTCTCTTAAATCCTTCCCCTCCTGCAGGCTCTCGATGGAAATGTATATGATCACCTTAAGGATTATTTAATGGCATTCAGCAGGACTGAACTAGAGACATGCCAAGCTGTACAAAACACATTCCAATTTCTACTGGAGACTTCCAGCAGGGTAAGTTGGAACTGAATGATCCTTTGTAACTGAATACTTGGAGCATATATGACTTTCCCAGGCTTAGGATTTGCTTCCAGAATAAGGGCAAGCCTGAAGGCTCATTATTTTTGGTTACTTCTGAGTGGTATTCAGTTAAAAGAAATGAGACAGTTTTCCTGGTGGGAATTTTTCCTCTTGCCACCCAGGATGCATTCTCAGGAGTGCATTTACACAGTGCCCATTCTTTATAGAACAGCTCTCAGGAGATGTTCAGCTATACTCACTACGCAGCTTTGGAAAGAGGAATGGCAGCTGAGAGTTGTGCACTGTGTGATGTGGACCCATGTTAGTCATCCCTCCCATCAAATCCCGGTGAAACAGTTTGGATCATCTCTTAATAATTGCCTGTCAACTTAAATACCACAATATTAGAGGGTTTGTTCTCCTTTGAATTAGGAATGACAAACAGAGAAAACAGATCAGAGCCTTGTCGTGAGCATGGTTTGTTTGCTTTGTCAAGCAGCCAGAATAAGAAATACATGATCGCTTCCAGGATGATTTTGATACTTGGATAATTCATCTGCCAGGCTAAAAAAACCCCTAATACATGGAATAGCCATTGGGCTCCAACTGTGGTGCAGTCATAATATTCCTTTATGTGTTTACCTGAACCACCCACACAGAAACAGAGCTCATTTATGCAGGCTGAGAACATTGGGACTGTGGAGCCTGGAGAAGAGAAGCTGCGTGGAGACCTCAGAGCAGCTTCCAGTGTCTGAAGGGGGCTGCAAGGATGCTGGGGATGGACTCTTCATCAGGGACTGCAGTGATAGGACAAGGGGTGATGGGTTCAGACTGAAACAGGGGAAGTTTAGATTGGAGATAAGGCAGAATTTCTCTACTGTGAGGGTGCTGAGGCACTGGAATGGGTTGCCCAGGGAAGCTGTGAATGCTCCATCCCTGACAGTGTTCAAGGCCAGGTTGGACAGAGCCTTGGGTGCCATGGTTTAGTGTGAGGTGGCCCTGCCCATGGCAGGGGGGTTGGAACTGGATGATCTTCAGGTCCTTTCCAACCCAAACCATTCTGTGATTCTGTGATTCTAACTCAGCTCTTCAAAGAAGAACCATCTTCACAACAGCCCTCAGAAGAAATTTCCCCCTTAAGCAACAATCCTTAGTTATAAATGAGAACTGTCATTGTAACAGCAGACTTGGGTGAGTGTGTAAGTCCAGCAAATAACACCTTGGAACATTTTGCACCCTGTATTTGACAGCTGTTAGAAAGAAAAGGCTCCTCAGCAGCAGGATTAAGCAACAACTTTCTCAAAGAGATTTCCTGTTATTCAGAAATTAAGTCAACATTCTCACACAGTTTCTTTATGAAGTCAATGCCACTTGACATGTTAAAATAGAGTTAAAATCAAATGTGAACTCTGTACCATACACAGTCCGAAGGCGTAGTCAGGGACGTGCCTAAATGGTATTTGCTGCCCTAAGGTTGGTGAGGCTTCTTACCAGAAACATCATAGCAATGGTATTGAAAAGAGCCAGTGGAATTTCAGAGGATGTTCCAAAGAAAATCCAATTGTTTTCCAAAAGAGAAGCACAAGTCTTGAGTAAGACTCTTCAAGTGAAAGTTAAATTGCATTAGTGTGACCAGCAGGTCGAAGGAGGTGATCCTGCCCCTCTGCTCTGCTTTCGTGAGACCCCACTTGCAGCACTGTGTGCAGTTCTGGGGTCCTCAACATCAGAAGGACATGGAGCTGTTGGAGCAAGTCCAGAGGAGGCCACAAGGATGCTCAGGGGCTGGAGCAGCTCCTGTATGGAGCCAGGCTGAGAACATTGGGGCTGTTGAGCCTGGAGAAGAGAAGCTGCGTGGAGACCTCAGAGCAGCTTCCAGTGTCTGAAGGGGGCCTATAGGGATGCTGGGGATGGACTCTTCATTAGGGACTGCAGTGATAGGACAAGGGGTGATGGGTTCAGACTGAAACAGGGGAAGTTAAGATTGGAGATAAGGAAGAAGTTCTTTATTGTGAGGGTGCTGAGGCACTGGAATGGGTTGCCCAGGGAGGTTGTGAATGCTCCATCCCTGGCAATGTTCAAGGCCAGGTTGGACAGAGCCTTGGGTGCCATGGTTTAGTGTGAGGTGTCCCTGCCCATGGCAGGGGGTTGGAACTGGATGAGCTTAAGGTCCTTTCCAACCCAAACTATTCTGTGGTTTTCATATGCTGAGTGTTAGAGAAGCTCTTCCCTGTGAGGGTGCTGAGGCGCTGGCACAGGGTGCCCAGAGAAGCTGTGGCTGCCCCATCCCTGGCAGTGCTCAAGGCCAGGTTGGACACAGGGGCTTGGAGCAAGCTGCTCCAGTGGAAGGGGTCCCTGCCCGTGGCAGGGGTTGGAGCTGGAGGAGCTTTAAGCTCCCTTCACCCCAAACCACCCTGTGGTTCTATGATTGGAGATGACATGGATGATCATCACACCCTGGTCAGTGCTGAGAGTCATGTGAAGCTGCAGGTGGTTCCTCCTTTAGCATGTTGTGACTTTCTCTCTATGGGAATTCCCAGTGTAGGCTCCCTGTGAACCTTCCCTGTGTGTTTTCCACACATTTGACTGTGTTTGTGTTCACCTGCTCAAATGGGTGCAGTAATTATGTACTTCACTGTTTCACATGAGCACATTATAGACCCTGGAGGACCATTTACTTTCTTTAACTGAAGATTCATTTCTTACAGTTCAGTTTTCCAGCAACACAAGCATCAGCGTTGTGCTTCATTGGAGAACAAGTTGTATTTACCACTGCACATAGAGTATAATCAGAATCCATGCTCACACACAATGCTGCTATTTCGGGATAAACACCATCCTTATTATATACTTCTGTACATTGAAACCCTCACTTTGCTAATAGCTATTTATAATTTCATGCTGTTATTTCTGTATTTCCATCAACTGAAGCAGAAAATACTCTAGAGTTCTTCAAACAGCACTGCTGTATTTTCATGTTGCCATCACTGAGGTTTTCTTTGTAAATATGTGTAAATTGTGACATAAGAGAGTGTTTGGGGATACATGTCACTCTGTCTGAAATGTATCATTAAAGAAATTTGGGAGCTGAAGGAGTTTTGGGTTAGTAAAATGCAGCTTTGAGAGTTTCCTCTGAAAGCAATTGCCTAAGAGATGAATTTGATAACTGATTTTGTATGCCTCATTGCAAAGAGGCTTTTCAGCTCTGGCAACTAATAATTTGTGTGAAAATCAGATATTTCAGCTGTAAAAAAGAGCTGTGCACACAAAATTAGCCACAAGAGGAGAGAAAAATATTTACGGTAGTGGCACCACATAGTCCTTACTAAATAGTTGGGGCTTTCCCCCAGTTTGCCTTTGTATTTTTCATGGGTTAATGGCAGATACAGAATCATAGGATCACAGAACAGTTTGGGTTGGAAAGGACCTTAAGATCATCCAGTTCCAACCCCCTGCCATGGGCAGGGACACCTCACACTAAACCATGGCACCCAAGGCTCTGTCCAGCCTGGCCTTGAACACTGCCAGGGATGGAGCATTCACAACTTCCCTGGGCAACCCATTCCAGCGCCTCAGCACCCTCACGGGGAAGAACTTCTGCCTTATCTCCAATCTAAACTTCCCCTGTTTCAGTTTGAACCCATCACCCCTTGTCCTATCACTACAGTCCCTAATGAAGAGTCCCTCTCCAGCATCCTTGTAGGCCCCTTCACACACTGGAAGCTGCTCTGAGGTCTCCACGCAGCTTCTCTTCTCCAGGCTCAACAGCCCGAATGTTCTCAGCCTGGCTCCATACAGGAGCTGCTCCAGCTCCTGAGCATCCTCGTGGCCTCCTCTGGCCTTGTTCCAACAGCTCCATGTCCTTCTGATGTTGACAATACCGGAATCATGGAATGGTTCGTGTTAGAAGGGAGCTTAAAGCTCCTCCAGCTGCAGCCCCTGCCATGGGCAGGGACCCCTTCCACTGGAGCAGCTTGCTCCAAGCCCCTGTGTCCAACCTGGCCTTGAGCACTGCCAGGGATGGGGCAGCCACAGCTTCTCTGGGCACCCTGTGCCAGCGCCTCAGCACCCTCACAGGGAAGAGCTTCTGCCTAAGAGCTCAGCTCAGCCTCCCCTCGGGCAGGTTCAAGCCATTCCCCTTGGCCTGGCCCTACAGGCCCTTGTCCCAAGCCCCTCTCCAGCTTTCCTGCAGCCCCTTTAGGCACTGGAGCTGTTCTAAGGTCCCTCTGCATCCTTTTATTTCATTCAGGGTTCTGCAGATTTGAGCTCTGTTGGAAACACTTCCTCAGTTCACTATACAGCATGTTTTTAAGTGTACAAAATGAACCTAAATGTCGCTTTCTGTTTGCAGGTGGTGAGGGATTACAATCTCCAGCTGTTCCTACAGGAGAACTCAGTGTTTCACAAACCGCAGCCTTTCCAGTTCCAACCAAGCGACAGTGACACTGTAAGAACCCTCCTGGATTCCTTCATTTCTTTGTTCTTGCTCTATTTTGATGAATGCTGTTAGAAATGAGCAAGAGAATAACGCTCACTGGTGTTCCCCTCTGGGCTAACCTCATCTATATTTATGGGAAAGCAAAGGAAGGTGACCTTGAGTCCAGCAGCTCTGCTGGCAGTAGGTGGGTCATCGTAACAGAAGCATCAAACAGGCTCCCTGTCATGCACAGAAGAGCAGGATCTTTTTGTGCTTCCAGATTGTGCCTGCCAGTCCTGTGTTCCTCTGCTTTCGGTGTAATTCCTACTACATTTTGTTACCTTATTATCATGCTGCTGAGGTTCTCCTAATGCTCACTAACACTGTTTTACAACGTATGTGATGCTGTGCCAACTAAGTGTCTGTATACCTCTAAATTACTCAAGGAATACCTACATACACGTAACAGAAGTAACTGATACAGAAAGCACACTGTCAAAGCATTGCATTCCAAAATACCCTCAGAAAACGCTATTTTGGTGTATGTGCTGCCCCCAAATGCCATTCAAATGGAGTAAATCTTAGTATATAAATACATTTCCAGCTAGTACTTTAATACAAGTGGGTTGTTGATGTCCCACTCACATTACTGAAGTTATTTTAAGAAATCACAGCTGAAAATAAGGCTGGATCTTTATAAAAAGTTCAACTTGTGCAGCTTTTTATTACATGAATTCATTAGTAGGACTTGGAGAGCAGTCTCCTGATCTCCCGTTCAGGTGATTAAGTTCAAGAACTCTCTGAACAGATACATAAGAGTGATTTTTCCAGACATCCTCACATGTATAACACAATTCCCTTTGTCTTTCCATTGTAACAGACTGTGATTTTGATTTTTCTTCCAGCTCCTTTGTATAGAATGAGTTATTTCCCTACAGTTTAACCTTGTTCTTTACCCAGTGAGCAGAACCTTTCTAACTGTCTTTGCCCTGCTGTCTAACCTTCACTGCTGTGTGTTTTCCTCCTTGTGCCATCTCTGCATCTAGAGTTTTAATGCAGTTCAACTGGTGGATATTGAGCCCTCACCTGTCAGTGCTATGAGAATGACAATAGCAGAGGTATATGTAGTATTTATGATTAACCTTTGTGTCCTTGTTGCATGTGGCTTGGGTTGCTGAATTTACACTCCCATAGAGGTGGCAACAGAATGCATAAGATATGTGTGATACATAGGATCATTGAATCATGGAATGGTTTGTGTTGGAAGGGACCTTAAAGCTCATCCAGTTCCAACCCCCTGCCATAGGCAGGGACACCTTCCACTAGAACAGCTTGCTCCAAGCTCCCCATCCAGCATGGTCCTACCCCATCCAGTGTGGCCTTGATATGGATGGGCACCTCAGTTATCCTTTTAGGACTCCATTTTAGACCTGGGAAAACATGTTCTCAGTTGACAGGCCTCCATCATTCATAATATAATAATGCATCATATATATATAGACACATCAAATGAAAATAAAAAGCTTTTTCCACAATGAGATTTTAAGTTAAAGGAGGAAAAAGCGATTTAATGGTGTTATTTGTGGGGATCAGGCGCACACTTCCCTTCTGCACTCACACAGCACATTGTGATTGCCATTCTAATGTTTTGGGGGCATGAATTAAAATTTCACAGCTCCTGATAGTGATGTGTGTAATTGGTTACTCCTCTAATGTGACTAGGGAAGTTGTAGAACAACTGGCAGCTATTAGTATGTGCTGATGAAATGCAGCCCTATTACTAATTTAATCCTGTTCTTTATCCAGAGAGCTCTCCCCATGTCAAACAGAGCTGTAATTCATCTTGTTCAAACTCTTCAACATTAAAAATTACATGATTCTTTGACATGCTGCTTGTGTGGTCTGATAGCAGACACGTGAGCTGCATGTACTGCTTGACTTCAGGAGACTGCAGAGCAGTGAATGGGTCGTTCATAGAATAATCATAGAATGGGTTGGGTTGGAAGGGAGCTTAAAGCTCATCCAACCCCAACCCCTGCCACGGGCAGGGACCCCTTCCACTGGAGCAGCTTGCTCCAAGCCCCTGTGTCCATCCTGGCCTTGAGCACTGCCAGGGATGGAGCGTGGGACAGAAAGAGCTGGGCTTGTTCATCCCAGCAAAGGGGAGTCTCCAGGAAAACCTTATAACAGTCTTCTAATACCTAAAGGGGCTGCAGGAAAGCTGGAGAGGGGCTTGGGACAAGGGCCTGTAGGGCCAGGCCAAGGGGAATGGCTTGAACCTGCCCGAGGGGAGACTGAGCTGAGCTCTTAGGCAGAAGCTCTTCCCTGTGAGGGTGCTGAGGCGCTGGCACAGGGTGCCCAGAGAAGCTGTGGCTGCCCCATCCCATGCAATTTAAACCATTCCATGTCTCTAGGCCTCTCAGTACCTCTTCACTTTCAGTGACTTCTTCACTTGGCTGACCCACTTGGGCTGCAGAACGACTGCAGTTCTTTATGGCCCTGCATGTTTCTGAGCTTCCAGCTGCTTGTGCTGTAAGCAGTTCTCACAGCAAGAAAGAAACTATTCAGGCTTCTTTATGATCCATGGAATTATGCTCAGCTAAAAGGGACCTACCTGGGCACCAGCAGGTTCGACATTCCCCACTATTAATCACTAAATACAAGGCAATGAGGGATTTGCTCAGGCTATGAATTTTTAAGGCATTGTGTTCCATTGAAGAACACTGATCAAGCATTCTTTTGCCACCTATTCTGTTTGTAGATGATCTGCAGAGATTCAGTTGCTTTTAGTTTGTGTGGTTTATGCATGGTAATTTCCACACTGAAGACTAGCACTGAAAGGAATGTAAGTAGAGTGATGAATACATCTAATCACATCCTTTCCAAGAGCAAATCCTGGCCACTCTACAAGCTGAATACCTGATCACTGTGATGGGGGTCAAAGTTTGGAGCATTTCATGGCACTTGAATGGGATTGTGAGTATTGTAGGCAACAGGAATAAGCAATATGGATGTGGAACTCAACTCAGTGCAAAGCTCTGAATGCTATTGTACCTTCTAGTTTTACATTTTCCATCTCAAATCTGCATTTAGAAGGGGAGAGCTGTGGCTAAAAACTAATGTTGACTGGATGGCCATGAAATCCTCGAGTCAGGTACAGATTGCTCCAACAGTTCCATGTCCTTCTTATGCTGGGGACACCAGAGCTGCACACAGTGCTGCAAGTGGGGTCTCCCCATAGCACAGCAGAGGGGCAGGATCCCCTCCCTGAGCTGCTGCTCACGCTCTGGGGGTGCAGCCCAGCACATGGGGGGGTTCTGGGCTCAAGCGCTCACTGAAGCTGGGTCATGGGGAGCTTCTCCTCACCCAGCACCCCAAGTCCTTCTCCTCAACCTGCTCCATCCAGTATCCCCCATCCTGTGTTTGTGCTGGGATTTCCCTGACCCAGGGGCAAGGCCTTGCCCTTTGCTTTATTGAACTCCATGAGGTTCACACTGTCCCACCTCTCCAGCCTGTCCAGGTCCCTCTACAAGGAAATGGTTCAGCAAGAAATCACTGGTTAACTCCCATTTAGATCTAATAAATCTAATAGACAAATCAGAGTGGGCCACTGCAGTAAGGTGGAGAACAGAAAAGAGTCTCTTGTACTCCCTTCAGCCTCACAAGACACACCATTCAGCACACGCTGGTCCTCCACAGGGGCTGCTGCTATATTCAGTGTCGTGACAACTTAATCACCCAGCGTCCTCCCACAAGGCAAGCATTAAGTCCACAGGAATCTCTTGTGTTGGAGCGTGCTGTCCCCATGCCTTGCAGATAAGCCCTGGCCATAAGAACAGGGCAAAATCCAAAGGAAATGAGCCAGCTTTTCTCTGTTTCCTGTTTGGAAAAGAGGTTTTTTTCCTTGAACTGCCCGTTATCGTGTGAGAAAAGCAGCCCGATGACAAAAAGCCTGTCCATGGTGAGGGGGATAATGGCAACAAGAAGCTGACACTAAACTTTTGAGGTCCTTTTCCTGTTGTTTTATCTGCATTGCCTGTGACCGTAGTTTCCCCTGGATGTTAACTGATGCTTTCATCCTCTTTGAGCACGCAAGTACAAACCGGAGCCAGATCTGATGTGTGTGGCAGCTTATCACATGAATAAATGGGGGTTTCTCACTGAAGCTGCAGAAAAACAACATCTCAGCACGTTCAGTGGAAAGTTTTTGGTGTTTCACCCCTTGTTATTTGGGTATAGAAGTTTAATGGATAAATTGGGACAATAAGGATGATTTTCATTATCATATGCTGAGCATCTTGTATTTCTGAGCAGCTTGTATCAGGCTATGTGATAGAAGCTATGTAAGCTCTACTTACAGAAGGGCATCGGTCTTGCTTGTGCCCAGCCATGTCTCCTCAGCTCTGCAAGTGCTCAGGGCTTGGAAAGTGAATGGAAATCACTGCCCAAGTGGGAATCATCAGGTTGTGCTTTGTCAGACTTCACTTTTAACAGGTTTCTGTGCACAGACAGAGATGTTTACACAGGTCAGCATTGACTATTGAATGTATTTCCATGTTTAAAAGAGATTTAAGACTTATTTAGCATTTGTATTCTATATATTTAGATCATATTATACATATATGCATTATGATTAAATATTTTACTATTCCTTATCTAATTATTGCATATAAGTATGTTCAATATAAATATTTAAATATAAAAGGTTTATGAAATATAAACTGCTAGTAAGAATTAATCCCTCACCTAAGTAAGCCCAGCCTAACAAGTTCAGAGGATGCCCTGATTTCTCTGTATTTAGAATAGTCTGTGCTTCCAATACCAGACCAGAGGAAGGTGACAGGTTTTAATTATAGCTTTCTTGAAGCTAAATATATATAGATATATAGATATATAAAAAATAAGATTTAATTTAATCAGTGTATAAAGCATTAAGAATTACTGAGGAGGAGAAATGCAGCCATTGAGGTAAAGAAATGCTCAGTACATTTCCTGTATGATTTCATACATCTTGTGTGTGGACAACACAACTAAAACTGATTTTACTTCATTCCCCCATGCCCCAATTGTTGTTACAATGAGGACTGAGGTATAATAGTCATAATTGAGGCTGATATTGAAGGTTTAATTGGAAGAAAAAGGGGAAGTCCGTGCCATAGAGTTAATGTCTTATTGTGGTTGGAACGTTAACCCCATTTCTGATTGATTTCAAGTATAATGAGCTGAAACTGGCTCATACCAAATGGATTTGATTGTAATTTAGAGACCACTGTGTTAGTATTCGCTTCTTTTAGAGTCAGGAAACACTGTTGAAGCAAAGCTCTGCATCATTTCTAACAGTGAGAGCAGAGAGCAGAGGTAATACTTGAAAGAAGTGGCCACTTAAGTAATAGATCTTTGTGTATATCACATTGAAAAGATCTATGAAATACATTTCTCTGTGTCAAAGTTGATTCTAAAGGTACTCCTTTGTCCCTTTGGATCCCCAGTGGCAGCTTTTCCGTGTTTCTAGTTATAATAGAACCCATTATAAGATTAATAAGATAAGATTAATTATGAGGGTGAGAATGGAAGTTCACTAATGAAAATACACATACAAAATTAGTTGCAGTGAGTATCATAGAACCCCAGACTGGTTTGGGTTGGAAGGGACCTTAAAGCTCTTCCAGTTCCAACCCCCTGCCACAGGCAGGGACCCCTTCCACTGGAGCAGCTTGCTCCAAGCCCCTGTGTCCAACCTGGCCTTGAGCACTGCCAGGGATGGGGCAGCCACAGCTTCTCTGGGCACCCTGTGCCAGCGCCTCAGCACCCTCACAGGGAAGAGCTTCTGCCTAAGAGCTCAGCTCAGTCTCCCCTCGGGCAGGTTCAAGCCATTCCCCTTGGCCTGGCCCTACAGGCCCTTGTCCCAAGCCCCTCTCCAGGTTTCTTGGCGGCTGCTATAAATAAGATTAAAATTAAAGCTAAAAAATGCATGGCTTTTGCTCTCTACTGTATAAATGACCCCTTCTTGGTACAAAACCATCAGTCACTGGGAGCAAAAAGCTGTGTTAATCACTAACACATAACAAAAAACAGTACTTTCAAGCTGCTAGTCTTTAAAAAACACCCCAACCCACAGAGATGGGCAAACCCCAGAGCTACAACCATTACAGTAACCCTGTCCTAACGTGTTGGGCATCAGCTGCTACAACACTCCCATGTGCATAGAATGTTCCAGTAGAGATTTCAACCTAATAATGGTCAGTGACCCCCCCCAAAATAAGAATTATTGAAGAAGATTTAATAATAAGCAGCCCCCTAAACCTCAACTGGATGAATTATTTTGTATGGTTGTGCAACTGTTCCTTTGCTGGGTGCTTGCAGCAAGGAGAGTTTTTTGTTGTACTGGATGTCAGACAATAGCTTCAGGATTTGTGGGGTTTTAAGCATTTTGCTATAGGAAATCTCTTTAGTAGAATCATAGAATAGTTAGAATTAGAAAGGATCTTAAGATCATCCAGTTCCAACCCCCTGCCATGGGCAGGGACACCTCACACTAAACCATGGCACCCAAGGCTCTGTCCAACCTGGCCTTGAACACTGCCAGGGATGGAGCAATCACAACCTCCCTGGGCACCCATTCCAGTGCCTCAGCACCCTCACAGTAAAGAACTTCTTCCTTATCTCCAATCTAAACTTCCCCTGTTTCAGTTTGAACCCATCATCCCTTGTCCTATCACTGCAGTCCCTGATGATGAGTCCCTCTCCAGCATCCCTATAGGCCCCCTTCAGACACTGGAAGCTGCTCTGAGGTCTCCACGCAGCTTCTCTTCTCCAGGCTCAACAGCCCCAGTGTTCTCAGCCTGGCTCCATACAGGAGCTGCTCCAGCCCCTGAGCATCCTCGTGGCCTCCTCTGGACTTGCTCCAGCAGCTCCATGTCCTTCTGATGCTGAGGACACCAGAACTGCACACAGTGCTGCAAGTGGGGGCTCACGTTTGAGAGCATGAAACGTGACTCTTACTACTGCTTTTTAGCTATGAGTAGTGTGAAAAACGTCATTCATAGTCCTTCCTCCCCCCAAGCAGTGTTGAGCATGAGGTTGAACTTGCTTTGCACCACTGACACGCTAACCCCTTATTTTCACCTCTGTAAAAGAGATGGCTGTGAGTTTTAGGTGTGTTTTGTGTCAGTGATTCGCATGCAGTAAATATTCACTCCTTTTTCCCCCTGGGTTGAACTATTTTAGTCTTCAGCTACAAAATTCAGGAGCTTTTAGGCTCAAGATTCAACTTCTTTTTTGCTCTTAAAGCTGTACATGTGCCAGCAGCATCCAGATATAACAGCTTAACTAAGAGAAACGGTGCGTTTGACCCTGTCTTAAGGCATCTTCTGCACCTGCAACAACATTTCAGACCACAATGGGGAAGCAACATGTGTCTACAACCTAAATGCCTCTGTTAATTTAAGAAACAGCATCACTGCTTTCTAAGCTGGAGTCATCTAGAACTTTCTCTTGGTTTACTGATTGAATTTATAGCACTAAACGCTGCTTTCACTGTAATCCAAACCCTGAGAGAACAGCACAAGGTCCATCTATGTTTAGCTCCGGGTTTTTTTGCCTCTTCCTTCATTCCTTGGCCATAGTAAGTGGCTTTGCTTTCCCACTTTTTTTGGGAAGAGGTTAAATTGAGTCATTGGACAGCTGGACATCTTGCCAGCACCAAGTTCCAGCCCTGAAAACACTTAAGTGCTTTATTTAGTAGAGCAGGTTATGAGCAGACACTTCAGTTCCCCACCTTTTTCCCAATGATTCTGATTAAAGAGAAATCTCTGCTTTTAGCTCCTGTCTTCATCCCTGTTTAAGTGGCAGTTGGTTCCTCATTTCTCACTTGCTGCACCTCTCAAGCCTGTCTTTACCTGAGGTCGCAGATGCCTTGGGTCATCCTTGAGGTCCTCCTGAAGCACAGGCTCTTCCATGCCAGTCATCTTGATGCTTATAAGCTCCTCTGCTTACAGCTTCCTTCAGAGCCACCTTAAGAGCCTGCAGCTTGGTCTTCACAGGGCCCTGAAGGCTCTCCCCACCATACCAGCTCCAGTTATTCAGGAAGCACTCCAGGTCCTGCTGGGATGAAAACCTTTCTCCTTGCACTGTCTTCAGACCATGCGTTTCCACCACGCACTCTGCTCTTGTCCTGCTTAGGAGCCCTTGTTTTCATCTTCTTTCCCATAAAACTATATTTGCCTCCAGACCTTGTCTCCTCCTTGTACTTTTGGTTTCCACACAGACCACAGCTCTAGGTTTCTCCCCAGTTTTATGTTATTTTTAGACCTTTAAGCAAGGGTGAGGCCTCTTTGGTTGCAGTTCTGCTTTATGAGTAACTAATAGAACCAGTCTGATCCAATAACAGTCCTCTTCTGGTTTAGTACGCCCCTAGGAGCAGCCACAAAGTTTGCATTCATTCTTTCTGGTCAAGTGCTTTTGATAAATAGATTAAACACCCAAAACACATATGGGGTAATGCAGAAGGTTATCAAGTGACTGAAGTCTGTATTGTTGCTTAATGAAAATGAGATGCTGGGAAGGACCAAGACTAATGGGAACCCTGAAAATTCATCATGAGATGTCTTATAGAGGAGAGGCAATGTCAACCCATTCTGCTCAGATTTGCAGCTGGTTATGACTCAGATGGAAGCTATGGAAGGAGCTGAATATGTTCACTCCAATAAGCTGAGGGAAAACTGAGCTCTCATGTTATCTTAAGGATTGGATCTGCCTAAATGAATCCATGTGTTTGGCCTCTACGTTTTGCAGTGACCTGCTGGAGTAGCTTCATGTAGGTAATTAAAGAGGTCAAACAGTAATGAATCATGGAATGGTTTGGGTTGGAAGGGACCTTAAAGCTCATCCAGCTCCAACCCCTGCCACAGGCAGGGACCCCTTCCACTGGAGGAGCTTGCTCCAAGCCCCTGTGTCCAACCTGGCCTTGAGCACTGCCAGGGATGGGGCAGCCACAGCTTCTCTGGGCACCCTGTGCCAGCGCCTCAGCACCCTCACAGGGAAGAGCTTCTGCCTAAGAGCTCAGCTCAGTCTCCCCTTGGGCAGGTTCAAGCCATTCCCCTTGGCCTGGCCCTACAGGCCCTTGTCCCAAGCCCCTCTCCAGCTTTCCTGCAGCCCCTTTAGGCACTGGAGCTGCTCTATGGTCTCCCCTTCAGGAGCCTTCTCTTCTCCAGGCTGACCCAGCCCAGCTCTCTCAGCCTGGCTCCATACAGGAGCTGCTCCAGCCCTCGCAGCATCTCCATGGCCTCCTCTGGTTGTGCTCCAACAGCTCCATGTCCTTTTTATGCTGGGGGCCTCAGAGATCCTAAAGCCACTTTCTCCTTGCTTGCTTCTACCATTGGAAATCATCTCTCTTACAACCCCTCAACTCTGCTAGCCCAAGCTCTCTGACAGGAAGAGGATGAGGAAGGATAAAGGCTGTAGTCACTTTTGATGAAAAGAAGCTTAGCTGAACAAAATGAGCTAAACTAATTTTTGCCTCATTTTCAATTAAATCCTCTGATAGGATGTTCACAAAGGTTGGTATTATTGCCTCTCTCGTGAGGACAGCATAATCTGAAGGGGATTCTTATGAATCTCCCATTCAGTATCACTTCGGTTTGCATCCTTTGCAGCAGTCTATTCCAAATGAAATTGTCTTCCTTCCTTGACACAAATCAAGGCACTTCACCTTCTGAAATACCTGATGACACCATCCGTCCCTTCTTCTGCATGACTGGAGGCTTCACACCTAGCCTGAAAAGTATTCCTTGTCTTTCTATTCTCTTACCCTTTTCCTGCTGGCTAACCTTGAATTTCTCCTTCCTAAACTTCTTTTTGGATCATAGGATCCCAGGCTGGTTTGGGATGGAAAGGACCTTAAAGCCCATCCAGTTCCAACCCTGCCATGGGCAGGGACACCTTCCATAGAGCACCTTGCTCCAAGCCTGTCTTCCTCCAGATAACAAGTGATAGGATGAAAGGAACCGGCCTCAAGCTGCACCAGGGCAGGTTTAGATGGAGCTGAGGACCAATTCCTGCCCCAGAGGGTGCTCAGGCATTGGAACAGGCTGCCCAGGGCAGGGCTGCAGGCACCGGCCCTGCAAGGGTTCACACCCCGTGGGGACAAGGCCTCAGTGCCATGGGGCAGTGGTGGCCTTGGCACTGATGGGCAGCGGTTGGACTGGGTGAGCTTAAAAGACTTTTCCAACCTAAGTGCTTCTCTGATCAATGCACTGGGGAGTGCACTAATGGAAACTGCAGAAAGATTTGGAATGATTTCAGTAAATAAACGCTGGGAAGTCTGTCTTCAGAGTTTCAAATGGGTTCTGTTCAATCTGGAGGCAGTGGAGGACTACTTCATCTTGCTTTAGCTGGCGTTTATTGAAGGGGAGGATAATGGAGCACACAGTAAAAGCAGGCATAAGATGAAACAGTATCAAGAACGTGATTTGAAATCGAAGTTGATGTTTTGGAGACAAAATTTTGGAGCACAAATTGCTGTTCTAAATATCGGATGGCATTGAGATTGAATCCCAAATTACAAAGAACAAGCCTAAATGGCCCATTGGTTCCCATGTAACCATCTTTGCTTCCTATAATGCATGTATTCACTGTATGGGTGAAACTATGTTTTTGCCTTTATTCATCATAAATGGCTTCCATTGCAGTAGAATTGTCTTTGGTGTTCAGTGTCTGCTTGTCCCGAGGCCATGTGAGTTGTGGACTCTAGTGAGCTTTGATTTGGTTTCACTGTTGGCTTTTCACAACATGGGACCACACAAAGTTCATAAGGAGCGGGGTTGTGTTTGTGGAGTCTTGTTTAGTATGAAACAAGATCCCAGGCTGATAAATGTTACCCTATAATATAAAGTTATCCTATCACTATCATCTTCTCTACAGAGGTAGCCCTGGGTCTGTGTCATGACTTGTGCTCTTGTTCTCTGTTCCAGAGTCGACAACTGGAATCGGAAACTGGAACGACTGAAGAGCACAGCCTCAACAAGGAGGCTCGGAAATGGGCAACCCGAGTGGCCCGGGAGCATAAAAACATCATCCACAGTCAGCGGGTAGGTTGGGGGAACATTCCTTTACCCGTTTCATTCCTTGCAGCTTCCCTGCATAGAGGAGGAGCCACTGCAAGCACTAAGGAATTAGTTTTATCTGTTTTCTCTGGCATTTTCATCATAGCCTTTCTGGGTATGATACACTCAAACTGCCAGGTCAGCAGCTCAGTCAGTTTGATTCACAGAATCCCAGAATCGTTTGGATTGGAAGGGAGCTTAAAGCCCCTCCAGCTCCAACCCCTGCCACGGGCAGGGACCCCTTCCATAGAGCAGCTTGCTCCAAGCCCCTGTGTCCAACCTGGCCTTGAGCACTGCCAGGGATGGGGCAGCCACAGCTTCTCTGGGCACCCTGTGCCAGCGCCTCAGCACCCTCACAGGGAGGAGCTTCTGCCTTATCTCCAACCTGAACATCCCCTTTTTGCATTTAAACTCCTTGCCTCTTGTCCTATTGCTACAGTCCCTGATGAAGAGTCCCTTTCCAAAACATAAATGCCACTTCCTTAAACACTGAATCCCAGGTTGAGGGGATCTCAGGGATCATCTGCTCCAACCTTTCCAGGCAAAGCTTGACCTACACTAGATGTCCCAGCGCCCTGTCCAGCCCAAACGTAACAGTGTCCAACACTGGGGAATCACCACTTCCCTGGGGAGATTATTCCAATGGCTGCTTGTTCTCATTGGGAAAAATTTGAGCCATTCCTCAAACCACCCATGAGAATATAGTGAGGAAGAAGCAGGACCAGGGAAGCTGTTTACCATCTTACCTGTCTTCTGCTGCACCTGTAGAATCATAGAATCCTGGAATGGTTTGGGTTGGAAAGGATCTTAAGCTCATCCAGTTCCAACCCCCTGCCATGGGCAGGGACACCTCACACTAAACCATGGCACCCAAGGCTCTGTCCAGCCTGGCCTTGAACACTGCCAGGGATGGAGCATTCACAACCTCCCTTGGCAACCCATTCCAGTGCCTCACCACCCTCACAGTAAAGAACTTCCTCCTTATCTCCAACCTGAACTTCCCCTGTTTCAGTCTGAACCCATCACCCCTTGTCCTATCACTGCAGTCCCTAATGAAGAGTCCCTCCCCAGCATCCTTATAGGCCCCCACTTATGTCATTCCATAGCAGAAACCAGCAGTTGTAGCTTCAGGCAGAGTGTGTTAACAGGGGCTCTGAAACTCTCCTCAGAGGAAGGAGAGAGCATCCTAGATTCTGGTCCTAGCACCTGATTCTCCTTCTGCTCTTTCCCCAAAGACTCTTTAATACAAAGCCTATGAACAATCACTGAAGCAGATTTGCATGTACCTGGTGACAGTTTGTGCAGTCACATGTGCTGTTCTACAGTCAGCATCCATGTACATGAACCTAAGAAACCTCCAACGTGTCTTCTGTGCTCCAGCAAATCCTCAGGACACAACATTCCTGCAGATGCAGCACACCCACTTGGCTTCCCCTGCAACAGGACTTCCATTAGCAACTTCCCTCTCCAGATGCTCTTCTTCATCCAGACATGAATCTAGAGCAATTTAAATGTGTCATTATCAACATAGAGATGAGTGGATTCATACCACGATACCGTGGTTTTGTGAAGATGCTGAGGTGTTCCTCTAAGTGGAATTTCCATGTGAAATACTTTATTTAAGTGATATTTTGCCTTGGTCATCATCTTGTTTTCCTGGAACGGACCATCAATGGTCAGCTCACCATCTAGTCAAACAATGATTTCCCTGACATCTCATTAATATTTATCATGTAGATGGTTTGCTGGCATTGACTGCATATGGGATGTGTTTTCTTGCTCCTGACAGACACTTGAAGAGCTGGAATGCCATGGGCCTGTGATGTCTGAGCAAACCCGAGCAGACCTGGAGCAGAAAATAGATGAAGCCAGAGAGAGTATTCGCAAAGCTGAGGTAAGAAGGAAAAGCTTTTGCCATGTTCAGCTTCCTGCAACAGAAGGATTTGTGTTACAGGTCTTTAGTTGTGTTTAGAATCATAGGATCCCAGACTGGGTTGGGTTGAAGGGACCTTAAAGCTCCTCCAGTTCCAACCCCTGCTACGGGCAGGGACCCCTTCCACTGGAGCAGCTTGCTCCAAGCCCCTGTGTCCAACCTGGCCTTGAGCACTGCCAGGGATGGGGCAGCCACAGTTTCCTTGGGGACAGGAAACTTCCTTGTGTTTATGGAAATGTAAGCTTTTAACATCAAAAATCAGGGAATTTTAAGTGGGTTTTTTTTCCCCTTGATTTTTATACTTCTCAGATCACAGAATCAAGTTCATGAAACACTCGGGATTAGAAGAGGGATGTTAAAAACCCTCCTGATGAACAGTGATTAAACTTGCTCCCTTTTCTGCTCTTGTGTAAAGGTCAAGAATCTCTGAATTTAGGGGTTTTGTCTTAAATAGACATAAAGCAATCTCAGGTTTACTGGTTTCCTTCTGCTTGAAGGAACTGATACTAGAAAATAGTGATGATATCTCTTACCTTGATGCTTTTTGGCTTCTAGAAGCAACTGCCACGTGCTGCTGTGCTTCTGTACTAGCATTTTTTGATACACATAGTAATTTGTAATGTCAATGGGAAAACATGTGAAATAACCTTTAAATCTCTTTCTGCTTCTACTGTGAGGTACCTTTCAAAAGGCTACAGTGATTTATGAGGCCTGTTTTGGGTTCAAGTCTCAAGAAGAGATAAACCAGCCTCATACTTGACTGCTGGTGTCGGGTTGGTAAAACCAAAGTGGTTTCATGGCCAGTGAGTCAAGAAACCTATCGCAAGCAACAGGAACTGAGCTGTTAGTTTTCAGCTGAGTTGCTTAATTAAAACTGTAGAGCAACTGTAATTGTTTCAGCTAAGTGCTTCTCATAGCACCAGATACTCAGAGTACCTGATGTAATTACAATGTGATTTGCAGTTCAAGAGGTTAGAAAATAGAGAGTGAAATTACTTCTGCTGCTGTGATGTTAGGTGTTCCTTTAAAGCAAATCCAGATTATATTCTCTTATAAGAGTGCTTTAAGTGTAATAGCCTTTTTGACTCCACTCTTTCAAATAGACTGTACTCCAGTGTACACAGAGTTAATGATTAAATATGTAAGGACATAGGGAATGAGAATGAATGATAAAAGCAGCAGCAGAAAGAAATCAAATCAGGATAAGAAGTTGCAGAGGAGAAGATTTGCACAAAGAATATTATAAGAGTAACAAATGAAATCAGTCTGGACCTTAAGTGATTGCAAGTCTTAGGAATGTATGATTAATGGGACTCAATAAATCAATGGAAAAGCGAACAGAGAGATGAAATGTTTCCTGGGGGAGGTGGTGGAGAGGAGAATAGACAAGGGTGATTTTTATTTGTTGCATTCTGGAAAGAACCATAGAAACAACTGGATTGGAAAAGACCTTTAAGATAATCGAGTCCATCATCAAAGGTAGGGCTTTGATAGGAGGTGCTGCAATAGTAGTGACCAAGGAGGATGACCACGGTAGAAAACAGGCTTTGGCCCTGTATGGATCACAGAATCCCAGACTGGTTTGAGTTGGAAAGGACCTTAAAGCTCCTCAAGCTCCAACCCCTGCCATGGGCAGGGACCCCTTCCACTGGAGCAGCTTGCTCCAAGCCCCTGTGTCCAACCTGACCTTGAGCACTGCCAGGGATGGGGCAGTCATCTCAATCTTCCCTCGGGCAGGTTCAAGCCATTCGCCTTGGCCTGGCCCTACAGGCCCTTGTCCCAAGCCCCTCTCCAGATTTCCTGCAGCCCCTTTAGGCACTGGAGCTGCTCTAAGGTCTCCCCTTCAGGAGCCTTCTCTTCTCCAGGCTGCCCCAGCCCAGCTCTCTCAGCCTGGCTCCATACAGGAGCTGCTCCAGCCCTTGCAGCAGCTCCATGGCCTCTTCTGTAGGTGTTTAAACCACTTCGTGACTTTTATACATTGCCATATAGTTTATAATATAGAATTCATTGTTTGCAAGAGTAGCCAGTAAGTGAATTCTATAAGCTTTTTCCTTGGGGTTATAATTTCTTTCAGCTTCACCCCTTCTTTGCCCCTACTCCTCTAAGTGGCCCCATTCAGTAATTTCAGGGCCATTAATTAGACACGAGGTTTCTGCACACATCTAATCTCTAGAAGAATAAACGATGTAAGCTTTGAGCACAAACATTTTCCTTGGTAATGCAATTATAATTCTTTCCAGTGTGTGAACACCAAACATTTGCAGCATTCCTGCATATTTAAGTGCAAGTGATTAAGTTGGAATTACTGATGGTTGGGTTGGGGAATGGAATTTGGGCTAAAAGTTACGGTCACTTATTTAGGTTATAGGGGAGCTGTGGATTTGCCCTTTCCTTGACCCACTGCACTGCATTTGGGTCATGGAGGTGCAGCTGGTAAATGAAACAAAGCAAAGACCCCCCTGATTTAGGTCAGAGCTTCAAAGAGGTCCTTCTCATGGTAGCAAGTAGGGGAATAAGGTGTCTGGAATGCTGTCAGGAGCCAGTGATCACTTGTTGGAAGGACCTGGCTTAGGAATCCTGGAATCACAGCCAGGTTTGGGTTGGATGGGACCTTAAAGCTCATCCAGTTGCAAAGCAGGAAAGGAACCATTTCATAGACTTCATTTCTTCTTTTCTGAAGGTCAGTTTGATGTATGTCATTTATAAAGTGAAACAGGAAGAAACAAGTCCCGGAACGTGCAAAGACCCATTCATTTGATTTACATTTGCTGCTGTTACTGAGGATATGGTATTCTATGGTTGCCTGACACCATCCATGGTTGCACCCTGTGTGAACAGTGCAGAGTAATTTGCCCTTTAACATTAGTTAGCTCCTTATCACCTTGTCACATTAAATCTTAGCATCTTCAGAACAGTGTGGGTGCTGCTGTGGTTGAAACTGGAAGCGTAGCTTTGTTCTTGTGCCATGTCTAGAGGTGTTTAATGATAACATATATGTTGTTACAAGAAAACAAACTATTTTATTGGGAAGGTACCGATGCAGCTTCACTTCCAACTGCAACAAGTATTAGTTGATGTCATGGAATCATAGAATCACAAAGTGGTTTGGGTTGGAAGGGACCTTAAAGCTCATCGAGTTCCAACCCCCTCCCATGGAGACACCACCTGCTCTAGTGCAGCTTGTCCCACCCCAAAACTCACTTGGTTTCAAAGAAAGTGTTAGACTACAGCTGATAATACCTCTGACAGTGGCAGAGCTCCACAACTGACTGTGGTTAATGCTCCACCACGGAGTTTAGATCCAGAGGAGCTCCATCCTTGTCAGAACAGCCTTTCACCACCACTGTGTCAGGGCTGGATCTTGATGAGGACAAGCACTGAGAGCAGTGGATGCTTGTTTCAATGAAGGTGGCACATTCCAGGCACCAGCTCTAAAGGAGATCAACACCTTTGAAATTCATTGAGTTGAGGACATCAACTGTTGGTGCAGCTCCTTTGCGCTTACTCAGACTCATGTAACTGAACTACAACTCCTGCATTTTAAGCTTTCATTTTTGAAACTAGTAGAATCAAGAATCATAGAATAGGATTGGAAAGGACCTAAGATCATCAGTTCCAACCCCCCTGCCATGGGCAGGGGCACCTCACACTAAACCATGGCACCCAAGGCTCTGTCCAGCCTGGCCTTGAACACCACCAGGGATGGAGCATCCACAACTTCCCTGGGCAACCCATTCCAGTGCCTCAGCACCCTCACAGTAAAGAACTTTGTCCTTATCTCCAGTCTAAACTTCCGCTGTTCCAGTTTGAACCCATTACCCCTTGTCCTGTCACTACAGTCCCTAATGAAGAGTAAGGAAGGTTCAATCAGCTGAGTAGATCTAATTTGCCTTGAAGTAGCTTTTTGTTTCTCCACTGCCTGTATCCCTTTATCTATAAACTAATGGAGACAAAAAGCTACTGTCTCCACTGATCTGTGTTGCAGAAATAAGGGAAAACGGAAGTAGAAGTTGCGTTCTTGTTTCTGTATCCTTCCTTCAGCCTGCATCCTGGATGCTTAGGCTGAGTTACTCGAATTCTTCCTCTCGTCTTACTCTGTCTCTATCAAACTAAAGACTCTGATGCTTTGATAGCCCAGCGGGAGTCTCCCAGGCAGTAAAGTTGGTCCCAAAGCTGACATAATTCTTCTCAACGATGATGGGAGATTTCCCATTTGTGCTCAGGTCTGTGCTCGAGGAAGGTCTTGGGGCCTCCACAGCAATTAATCCTATTTCCACTTAATTATAGGGGGATGCATTTTGTCTCCTCATTAGGATATCTATAACTCTCAGGAGAGTCTTTGTACCAGATAAGATTTGATTAAGACTCATTATGATGCTGTTTACTTGGTTTGATGAGTTCAGAAGCTTAGGTCCATTTTTAATTGTAAGAGGAGGGCTGTTTTCTCCCTCCCTTTGTATTTGGCTATGAATATTTATCACTCTGCTGTGATAACAGTTGTGTTTGCTGGCTGGGCTCCTGTTCTATCTTAGGATGTAATCTATTAATCATGTGCTGCATGTGGTCCTACCTCATCTCAAGTGGACATAGCTACGTTTCAGCCTGTTACATGTTCCTCCAGTTGAACACTTCAAGAGTGCTGTCCTCTGCTCCTAAGCAATGTGAGAAAAGCTAATTCCATATGCTCCATGGCATGGAATAAGGCTGCCAACCCCCAGAAAGCTGAATATGTGAAATGTCACTTGCTGCTCTCTATGGCTTTGCTCTGGAAACATATGCTTGGGAGAGCTGTGCTGGGTAAACAGATTGCCTTCTCCATATGAGAGCTGTTGGAGCCGTTCATCTTTCCGGCTAAGAAGGCTGGGAATAGCCTGGAAAAATGCCACCGAAGTCCACAGGTTGGGGATGTTCAACTCTTAAGGTAAAAAGCAGTTTAGTGAGGAGAGAATGTCGTTGGTGAG